AGGGTTGGAAGGGACCTCCAGGGTCATCTAGTCCAACCCCCTGCACAATGCAGGAAATTCACAAATACCTCCCCCTCCCCACCCACAGTGACCACTGTTCCATGCCCAGAAGATGACAAAAAAACCTCCAGGATTGCTTCCTGATCCCAAAGTGGCAATCGGTATTTCACTGGGCATGTAAAAAAGGGCCACAAGAACTAAGCACTGAGGCGACCCTTCTTATCTCCCTTCTCATGATCTGCCTAAGTTCACAGAATTAGCATTTCTGTCAGATGGTCATCTAGCCTCTGAAAACCTCCAAAGAAGGAGATCCCACCACTTCCCGAGGAAGCCTGTTCCACTGAGGAACCGCTCTAACTGTCAGGAAGTTCTTCCTCATGTTTAGCCTTTCTTGATTTAATTTCAACCCGTAGGTTCTGGTCCTACCTTTTGAGGCAACAGAAAACAACTCTGTACCATCCTCTATATGACAGCCCTTCAAGTACTTGAAGATGGTTAACATAAGAACATAAGAGATGCCAGTGTTGGATCAGGCCAAAGGCCCATCCAGTCCAACACTCTGTGTCACACAGTGGCCAGAAATACCAGTGCCATCAGGAGGTCCACCAGTGGGGCAAGGACATTAGAGGCCCTCCCACTGTTGACCCCCCCCAAAGCACCAAGAAGACAGAGCATCACTTGCCCCAGAGCCCCTATCTATACCTTGTGGCTTATAGCCACTGATGGACCTCTGCTCTCATATCATATCATATCACCTCTCGGTCATCTCCTCTCCAGGCTAAACATATCCAGCTCCTTCAACCTTTCCTCACAGGACTTGGTCTCCAGACCCTTCATCATCTTTGTTGCTGTCCTCTGGACACGTTCCAGCTTGACTGTATCCTTCTTAAATTGTGGTGTCCAAAACTGAACACAATACTCTAGGTGAAGTCTAACCAGAGCAAATTAAAGTGGTACCATCACTGGATGACTCTTGGTCTGACCAGGATGGATTCTATGAACTGAAATGGCTCTTCGTCCTTCACTCCAAAATCCCTATCAGTTGTAGGCCAGTATCCAAAGAGCCATGCAGCTGGTTTGGCCCAACAAACTTACTTTGGGTTTGAGTTTCCTTGAACACCCCCCCCCCCAAACTGGCCCATAAAATTGCTCTTGAAACAGAGTCCTTTCCAAAGCAGTTTGGGATACTCCGTAGAGGTCGTCTGTTGTTCTTGTCATTGGTTTGAGTTGTGTTGCTCATGTTGAGCCTTAATCCAAGTTCTGGAACACAGTTTACTACCGGAAGCTAACCTGCGTACTTCTATGCATACACACCCATAAAGCTTAGACTGTTGCCTGGGTCAGATAAGACACAGACATACTGTATGAGCATTGGTTGTCCGTGCCGGAGACCTCAAAATTGACACCATATGCAGTCAAGTGTAATTTCTCCAAAGGTGCGAGGGAATGAGAAGATGTCAGAACTCAGGAGTAACACTTCATTCATCCCAAAGCTATAAATATATCCAGTTAAGTTAAAAACGAAATTTGGGAAATGTTACATGTGAAAGGTGTTCCTTCACAATACTTCCCATCTAGATGAACTCTGCAAGAAAGACAACCCACGCACAAACCGTCTCCCTCTCTTACATGAACTCTTGTTGAGCTGTGCCTCATATTATTTTTAAGTCGTTATGTGGCTCAAAGGAAAAGATCCCAGATGTTAGCGAGCTGTATGAAATTTGGTGGAAACAAGCTGTAAGAAACATAGCCATAAAACAGCTTGTCAGGGCCACACATCTGGACAATGCAGCTGTGCCTTGATGTTGCTGTCATCGCCCAAAGAAAATTCAATAACCTTATTCCACCCCAATTAGGCTACATACCAACAGAATCAGAAAGGAGGGAATTGGTCTTGGAGTCTAGGGTGGAGCTCCAGTCCTCCCACCACCACCATCACCCCACAATATATCTGAAACTGTTATTGGTCTTTGATTTGGGGCTTGTAGCTCAGATAGCAAATGTGAGATGCATCATTCTCATCGACGGCTGTCTGTCTAATAGATGCTGCTGCGTTCTGTCGATGCCAGATCGGATGGCTGAATCGTTTAGCATTGGCCAGATGTGCCCCTTGCTTCTGAGCATGTTCGGTATTGCTGACAAAAGAATCCTTACAGGGTCAATTTAGCCACGCATCTCTCCCAGCAGTTTCTCTTCAACGGCCAGGAGCAGATTCTTCAGAGCAGCCATGTTCCATTTGGGGCCCAGAAGTAAAACTAGAATCGCCTCCAGGGATACATCTGACGTGCTTCCCTGGAGAACAGCGTATCAGGGCGCAGTTCTCACTGAAATGATAAACCCATGTCTAACTAGCATCTTGCTTCTGCATAGTTTTGGAATAGTGCCTTCTATACACGTTCCATTCCTTCAGTTTTAAATGTTATAAAGCAACACAGGGCACAGTTCCCGAACATCCTGCCGCATGAACGTCCTGCTGTCTAAAGACTCCTAGCGTCTTCGCTCCTACAGGTTTGTCACCGTGGCCCTTTCTGCATTCAGTCTTTACTCCAGAGTTTCCCAGCGCTCGAGCCGGTACGCCTTTGATTCGTCTTCCTTGCTTTCATTTCTGCATATGTCTGTTTTCAGCGGATGTTGGTACCGGAAACTCCACTCTATGCGGATTATTCTTTCTGCATTTTCCCAATTGAAAATGCGTGACGGTGCAACGTTTGTGGCCATGCCAGAAAGGTTTGCATGGATTAGCAACAAGGAAAACTTGTTCTTCACGTTCCTTTCTGCAGAGCTCTGACTCATCTAAAGGACTGTGATAGTTCAACTTTTGACCCAGCAGCCTATCTGTTCATGTGCTAATTATCTCCTTGAAGAAACCAAGGGAAGGCAATCCTTCTTGGGCAATTGCAGTCCTTAGGGAAGATTTGCATCAGATTAATATTCCCCAAGTAAACTAAAAAATGGATTAAAAGTTTACCTAATAAAATTATATTAATTCATCTGAGTCGAACTTTATTCGATTCCAAAAACCAACCAAAAAATTGGATGGGAGAGTTCACGGCATCAAATATATATATTAAGCCAATGAAGTGTAGGATAGCCCCACCTACTATTATCATTGAAATGCTTATACTCCTCTGCAATTGGGCAGAGGGCAGAAATAGGGGGAGTGGCATTTAAAGGCACACAGAAACACTCCTACTTTCGTGTTTTGAAATCGGATAAGAACTAAGAAGAGCTGCGGTGGCTCAAGTGGTTAAGACGCTGAACTGCAGGCTGTGGAAGGTCGGTAGTTCAGCAGTTCAAGACCCGGGTGCCGAATGACGGAGTGAGCTCCCGTCTCTAGTTCCAGCTCCTGCCAACCTAGCAGTTCGAAAGCAAGAAATTGCAAGTAGATTAATAGGTACCACTTCGGTGGGAAGGTAACAGCGTTCCGTGCGCCTTGGTTAGAACAGTCTCTGCCATGCTCAAAGGAACGCTTTTCAGTGAGTCAGCTCCTCCTACATCTACCTGTATCGCTTCAGGTTGTAGAAGGAGCTCATCATTGCTAGTTTCATTTGTGTGAACAGGTGTTTTTTTTTAATAGGAAGGAGTGTTCACAGTGCAATCCCAAGGCCAGGTTTGCTTAGGATTTCAGCTAAACCCCTATGCTGGTGTGATGTGGAGATAACATTGTTATAATGCCTAGAGGTGGGAAGGCCCAGGAAAAAAGGGGGGAAATGGGGGGGGCTCCCCCTTCAAGGGCGTAGACTAGAAAGACTGGTCATGTACATCCCCCCCGTCTCCAAAAGAAGCACCTCCTTTGTAAGTTAGGGCGATTCTGTATTGGCTTTTCCCTCCGTTGTTTTATGAGACCCACATTGGAACAGACATTCCTCCCTGCATTGCATGCTGCTTTCACTTCCTTTGATCATCGGGTTTTATGGTACCTTCTGCATAGATTTATGGCTTTTTTATTGCCGTTCAGGGGTGACTTTGCAGTCAGTATGGCGTTCCCTCGGGGTATTTGAATGTGGTTTTGAGCTGCCAGATGCAGAATCGCCCTTAATTTTTTCTTTCTTTCATGTGCATTGGAAAGGGCTATGGGCGAGGCCGAAACAGAGAGATGAGTCCTCCAACTTCCCCCTCCCCGCTGCCACTCCAGCAGGATCAAAACACTTCTTTTTATTGTACCCATTTTCCAACACGTAGCAGGGGCAGAGGGGTTGGGAAAGCAGTGTATGAGTGTGTACGTGCAGAGCATTTGGGATCCGGATTTCCAGCGTTTGGGAAAAAGAGAACTGCTTTTGAGTGTCCAAGAATGCTGCTTACAATTTCTGAACGCTCTGCAGCCAGAAGGTGATTGGTCATCCCAGGAGTCCATCCATCCATAGGCTTTCCCTCACTACAGGCATGTTCCGAGCCCTGTGGGGTAGAAGTCTAAAAATAAATAAATAAAATAGTTTTCATGTATGTAAAAGCATGTCCCTCATAGGTTTCATTTATGTAAAACGTGTCTATGTGTGTATTACCATAGAGCCAGTTTGGTGTAGTGGTTAAGTGTGCAGACTCTAATCTGGGAGAACCGGGTTTGATTCCCCACTCCTCCACTTGCACCTGCTGATGTGACCTTGGGTCAGTCACAAGCTCTGGCACAGCTGTCCTTGAAAAAGAGCAGTTTCTGTCCAAGTTCTCTCAGCCCCACCCACCTCACAGGGTGTCTGTTGTGGGGAGGGGAAGGAAAAGGAGTTTGTAAGCCGCTCTGAGACTCCGAGTGAAGGGCGGGGTATAAATCCAATCTCTTCTCTATTCTTCTATTATTAAAAAATCCATCGTCGAATTTGATTCTTAACATTAAATTAGAGTCATGGTGAAGTACATCCCTTTTCCTCCCAAAAAACTGGTTTAAATCGAGTCTTCCTGAAACTAATGTCAGTTTACTAAAGTGCCTTTTTGAAGAGAGTAGTTTTATGAACCTCTTTTATCCTGTCACTCCTAAAACTGGCATGTATTTGTTTTTTCCTCTGCAGGTGATAGAGGTAGCAAAAAGCATTCTAGATGCTGGGGAATCACTTCCTGTGACTCTGATTGGCAAGTTAATTAAATATCAAATGCTTTGCATCAAACAGAAGGATCTGGCGAGACGGGCTGCTGAAAAGAAGGTATTGTGGCCACATATGAGATAAAAATCCTACTTCTACCAAGGCAAAATGCTTTTGATATGTTTTGTTTCTTCTGTTGGGTGATGACCCTGCCCCATCACTGGGAGAGGCTAACCTCAAATATTTGTCCTGCTCTCTTTCTTGTAGGAGACTTCTCACCATTGCTATCATGTTAGGCCGGTTTTAGGCCACTGGACTGTTTTGGATTGCTATCGGGGGGGGGGATGGGCTCTGCAACTTACCTGGCTGCTTCTTGCTCCTTGTGGCCTGGGGCTATTGGGAGCAGGGGGCGGGGCTTGTTGAATTTGCCCACCCTCTGGGCTCTTTACTGCCGGAGCTCTGCTCCTGTGAGCTCCTGCAGGAAATGGTTACAGTATGCACTAATGTTGTTGTTGTGACACCACCAACTTTATAATTGTTTAATATATTGTTTGGCAATTTTGATGGTGTTTTCTACTAGTGGAATTTGTATATTTGGGACTTCCGTGATGCTAGTCTTTCCCCCTTTTTTTGGATCCACAACAGGTGAAGGCTCAGAGAGGTACTGGCCGATAGGAGCAAAGCCTTCTGGGAATTGTAGGCTGGCACCCTGCCCTGAGGAGCTGCGGTGGCGCAAGTGGTTAAGACGCTGAACTGCAGGCTGTGGAAGGTCAGTAGTTCAGCAGTTCGAGACCCGAGTGTGCCGCATGATGGAGTGAGCTCCCGTCTCTAGTTCCAGCTCCTGCCAACCTAGCAGTTTGAAAGCAAGAAATTGCAATGTTTTTCTAGGCTTGCCAACCCTTGCTCGAAAGCTAGTCAAATCCGACTCTAGGGGGCGGTGCTCATCTCCGTTTCCAAGCCGAAGAGCCAGTGCTGTCTGGAGACATTTCCTTGGTCATATTGCTGGCATGACTAAACGCCAAGGTGCACGGAACGCTGTTACCTTCCCACCGAAGCGGTACCTGTTTATCTACTTGAAATGTCTTGCTTCTGAACTGCTAGGTTGACAGGAGCTGAGGGCAGAGAAGGGCGCTCACTCCGTCACACGGCACTCGGGTCTCGAACTGCCGAACTACAGACCTTCTGGTCTGCAGCTCAGTGTCTTAACCTCTAAGCCACCGCAGCCCTAGGCATGTTTTACTCCCATCTAAAAAGCCAAGAACATCATCCATAGTAGGACCAACCCAATGACACATAACTGTGTGTAAGCTTGCAAGTTCACTAGAACTCTTCATCAGGCATGATGTTACAAAATTTTAAAAAAAGAATAGTGTATTTTAAGCAAATTTTTTAGGTGAAGCTGTTAAGACCTGCTCATGCTAGGGTATGGTAGATTGGCCGTCTGGCGAAGAAGAAGAGAAGAGATTGGATTTATACCTTGCCCTTCACTCAGAGTCTCAGAGCAGTTTACAATCTCCCTTCCTCTCCCCACAACAGACACCCTGTGAGGTAGGTGGAGCTGAGAGAGCTCTGAGAGAACTGCTCTTGAGAGAAGATCTCTGAGAGAACTTGTGACTGACCCAAGGTCACACCAACAGCTGCATATGGAGGAGTGGGGAATCAAACCCGGTTCTGCCAGATTAAAGTATGTGTTCTTAACCACCACACCAAATTGGCTCTCAGGTTTCAGGTTGCCACAGGCCAGGGGCCATGAAAGCAAGAGGTAATAAAACAATTAAACTACACAGCAACAGTCCCCACTGATTGTCTGATTGTTGCTCCTCTCTTTTTAACGTTGCAACATCTGGCCTGATGAGGAGTTCTGAGGAACAAGAAAGCTTGCAGACACGGACTGTGTTCTCGACTTTGGGGCTTTTACTTTCAGACCCACACGGCTGTAAACAATTTGTTTAGTTAAGTCTCCCTGACCCCGCCTCTGGGGAGGGTGATTTGGCAAGAAGGTGTGGGAAGAAATAACCAGAGCACAGAGCGAGACTAAAATAAACTAAAGCTTGACCTTTGCTGTAAGAGTTCTAAAAACAGATGTTACGCAGATAACTTTTTCAAAAAAGATTTTTTCAGATCAGACCCGGGGGAACAAAATAGCAGTCGATGAATGCAGCCCAGCTATCCTAGCTAGATGAGGGCTGCGGTCACACACACTGAATAATCCACTTTCAGTCCACTTTCTCACTGGATTTTGCCAGTTCACACAGTAAAATCCAGTTCGAAAGTGGACTGAAAGTGGACTGAAAGTGGATTAGTTAGTGTGTGTGACTGCAGCCGCACTTACTAAGTGAGTGGACTGTGGGGATGTGCTAGATCAGTGATGGCGAGCCTTTTAGAGACCGAGTGCCCAAACTGCGACCCAAAACCCACTTATTGATCACAAAGTGCCAACACGGCAATTTAACCTGAATACTGAGGTTTTACTTTAGAAAAAAAAAAACTCATACATTAACTGAAGAGGATCCAAACAAAGTAAGGAAAGCAATCCCAAATGCTGTCATTTACTTAAAATTATTTGGCAGAGAATTCGACACTTTAATGATGGTCTGGGCCTGGCTGGGGCGATGGCACGCGTGCCCACAGAGAGGTCTCTGAGTGCCACCTCTAGCACCCGTGCCATAGGTTCGCCACCACTGTGCTAGATTATTGCCAGAGCTTTGGTTGTCGCTTGGAATGACCTGTGGGTAAACGTATAGGTATGTTGCTGGCCGGTGATGTTTGTGGGGAGGAAATAAACGACCCTTTGGTTTGGGAGGAAGCAACCTTGAATAGCCCAGGCTAGCCTGAGCTTGTCAGAGCCTGGAAGCTAAGCAGGGTCGGCCAGGGTTAGTACTTGGATGGGATACAGCCAAAGAAGACCAGGGTTGCTATGCAGAGGAAAGCAATAGCGAACCATCTCTGCTCACCTCTTGCCTTGGAGGAGTCTCTTGTCATGAGGAATTGCCATCGGTCAGTTGTGATTTGATGACACTTATATTATAGGGGCTGCAGTGGCTCAGAGGTTAAGACACCGAGCTGCAGACCGGAAAGTTTGGCAGTCGAGACCCGAGTGCCACATGACAGAGGGAGCTCCCGTCTCTGGCCCCAGTTCCTGCCAGCCTAGCAGTTCGAAAGCCAGACATTGCAAGTAGATAAATAGGTACCGCTGTGGTGGGAAGGTAACAGTGTCCCATGCACCTCAGCGTCTAGTCATGCTGGCCACATGACCACAGAAACATCTTCAGACAGTGCTGGCTCTTCGGCTTGGAAACGGAGATGAGCACTGCCCCCTACAGTTGGATTCGACTAGCTTTCAAGCAAGGGAAACCTTTACCTATTATATTATAGGAGGAACTGCACTGGGGGGGGGATATGGAAGCGGCTGCAAGCAAGGGACAGGATGGGGGGGATGTTTGAGTAAGTCTTAGGTTGCCAATGGTGCAAAGATGTTCCGGGGGGATTTAGAATTGGATCCTTAAGCGCGTGGGTGAAGTCGGCAATGGGAGGGTGGTTTCCTGTGGCTCGGTGTCAGGAAAGGGCTGTGAAAAGCCAGGTAGCTTCCTTCATGAATGCCTAAGAAAGGGGACCTTTAAAAAAAAAAAAAAAAAGCAGGACCCTAGCCAGGATTTTTTAAGTCGGGGGGCATTTACATTTTTTAGGGGGCACTGGCCAATCAAATTAAAGGGATCCCCGGCCCCTTCCCCACACCTGCTGTGGCTCGGGTGCCCTGGGCTGGATGGGAAGTCGGGGGGGCCTTGCCAGTAAGTCAGGGGGCCTCGCCCCAAGATGCCCCACTATAGCGACGGGCCTGGGAAGTACCCTCAAAGATTGCCCAAAGATGGCTTTGACTTCAAAAGGGGATATATAGATGCTTGGATCAATGTAGCTCTTTCTATGAGAACGTGATGTATACGTACTATTCTCTGATTTGGCAGCCGGTTGATGAGCGAGAAAAGGAAAAAGAGGAGAAGGGGAAGGGGAAAGGGAAGGCGGCCGTCAAGAAGGAGAAGCCTCCCAGTGCCAAGTCTGGCGGGAAAGGAGGGAAAGCGAAGAAAGGATCCGATGCCCAGCAGTACTCAGGAACCGCCATTAAAAAGGAAACCAAGCTGAAGCGACGCGGAGAAGAGGATGATACTGATAAGTACATTGGTGGGTAGCTACGGAATGAGTGCCATGCCTCATGTCCAAAACACACCATAGTCCAAACACTGGGCAGAGGCAAACCCCAGGTTTGCCCCCACGGTGGATGCTCAGCGGGGAACCACTGCCCATCGAAGCGTATGAAACATGTCTGTTGTGTGGTTTGTAATGAACTGAAACACGTAAAGCACATATGAAACAAATGTAAATAGGAACCATGTGATGGCCTAGAGATTCCACAGGACTTCTGTCTATCAAGGGGAACCATGGCTCAGTGGTAGAGCCTCTGCTTGGCATGCAGAAGGTCCCAGGTTCAATCCCCCGCATCTCCAGTGAAAAGGATCAGGTAGGAGGTGATGGGAAAGACCTCTGCCTGAGACCCTGGAGAGCCGCTGCCAGTCCGAGTAGACAATGCTGACTTCGATGGACCAAGGGTCTGATTTAGTATAAGGCCGTTTCATGTGTTCATATGCTAAGGACAAAGTAGACATTACAGTGGCCATGGTTCTGACCCATGGCTGCTAATGCCATTTCAGAGAAGAATTAGGCCATCTAAAAACACTGCAAGGGCCTGATCAGGATTGGGCCCATGCCACAGTTGGCCCAGGTGATATTGTCCCCACCCACCCCATGTACAAGGGGAAACAAAATCTGATTTTTCTCTAAAATGGCATCGTCAGACATGGGTTGAAGCCATGGCCACCATAACTTCTAGTTGGGCTCATAATCATAGATATTTTAGAAGTGAGGCCCACTGATTTAAGTGGAATTAAGAGCTAAACCAGACATTACACATGGCCCGAGTCATGTCAAGGTTTCCTGACCCCAAAATATGTATGTGAAACCCCACAGCAGGGTAAATAGAATTACAGAGTTGGAAGGGGCCATACAGGGAAAATAGGGTGGGAGAGAAGCCCCTCTTCTCCATGCATGGTGCTCCCGAGCTGAATCGCACCTCTGTACGTTTGGAAACTGGTTCCCCTGTGTCGCGTTTGGCTGTGCAAATATCAGTACCCTGACTTAACTTGTGCCAGACATATTGCCTAGTTTGGATTTAAATTCTGAATTAGAATATTAGGATTACAGTGTTGGGTAATTGTCCTTCCAATATTAGGGAGGACCTGCTCCCTGTGTGCTTAGATGGATGTACAGAAAAACTTGTACTTACAGTTGAAGGAAGGGACATACCCAAGAGGCCTTGTTCAAGGGCACTTCTCCATGGCTGGTATTTGTGCCGAGTCCTAGGCTACGTTAACAAGCTCTTGTAGAAGAACATAAGAACATAAGAGAAGCCAATGTTGGATCAGGCCAAAGGCCCATCCAGTCCAACACTCTGTATCACACAGTGGCCAAAAAGACCAGTGCCCTCAGGAGGTCCACCAGTGGGGCCAGGACATTAGAAGCCCTCCCACTGTTGACCCCCCCAAGCACCAAGAAGACAGAGCATCACTTGCCCCAGAGTCCCTATCTATACCTTGTGGCTAATAGCCACTGATGGACCTGTCCTCCCCAAATTTGCCTGTTCTTCTGAATCTGAAGCCCTGTAAGTTGCTAATCATCATTATGTCCTGCGGGCAGCGAGCTCCACGAATTAATTATGCACTGTGTGAGAAAAGTGAATTCTTTTGTCTTTCCTGCCCCTTAACTTCATTGAATGCCCTGCTTTCTAGCATAACGGGGGAGAAAGGAAAAAAGGTTGTCTGCGTCCACGTTCCTCTCATCATGCACAATTTAATAACCCGCAGTCCTGTCCTCCTTTAGGCACCTTTTTGCTAGACTGAAAAGCCCCAGACATTTTAGCTTTGATCAGCGTGGTTGCTCTTTTCTTCACCTTTTCCAGCTGCAGCTTTGCAATACCTTTTTGAGGTGGGGTGACCAGAACTGCACAAAGTATTTCAAATACGGCCACACCATTTATCTAGGCAAGGGCTGTTCAGTTGGCCATTTCGGTTTCAGTTCGTTTGGTGTAGTGGTTAGGAGCTAGGGTTGCCAAGTCGAAAAATGTACGTACCGGGAGACTCCCGGTCCGCGGCTGGAGCGTGCCCTGCATGCACGTCACCAGGAAGTGATGTTATGACGCCGGGCACGCTGGGGCGGGGCCACGACCATCCGAGGGAAAACCATAGAGTTTTCCCTCGGATGACCGTGGCCCCGCCCCCAGCGTGCCCGGCATCTTAACGTCACTTCCTGGTGACGCGCATGCCAGGGTGGGGTTTCCCCCGGGGCCCGATCTGCCGGCGGCGGGGAGCGGGCCTCTGGGCCCGCCCCCTGGGGAGACTTGGGAAGCCTATTAGGAGCACAGACTCTAATCTAGGAGAACTGGCTTTGATTCCCCACTCTTCCACATGCAGCTGCTGGTGTGACCTTGGGTCAGCCACAGTTCTCTCAGAGCTGTTCTCTCCATGGCAGTTCTTGAAAGAGCTCTCTGAGCCCCACCTCTCAGGGTGTCTGTTGTGGGGAGGGGAGGGGAAAGGGGTTTGTAAGCTGCTCTCAGACTCTGAGTGAAGGGCGGGGTATAAATCCAATCTCCTCCTCCTCCTTCCGATTGTAGACTTTGCCTTTGTTACCACTGCCATACAGAGTTGACATTTCGTTGAGCTGTCCGCCACGATTGCTTCCCTAGTCACTTAACACCAGTTCAGACCCCATCAGTGTGTACGCAAAGTTACAATCGTTTGTCCCGACATGTGTCACTCTGTCCTTACTTACACTGAACCTCATTTGCCACATTGGCTTGGACACATCACCTTGGAGAGCTCATGATTCTCTTGGATTCCTGCCACACTGTCAAATCTGGGCACTTCACTGCTCATTCCGTGATCCCAGATCATTTAAAATTAAATAGCAGCCATCGTAATTCTGTTCTTTTCTATGTTATGTCTGAGCAAGAGTGAATGGGTTTCTGTGTGATATTTTGGAACAGATGACGAGCCAGATGATGGCGCTCAATATTATTTCATCCTTTGGGGTTTCCACTATCCACAACTCTTGCCTATCCTGTCTGAACTGGGGATCAATGTTGGAAGCATCATTCAGATCTCTTCTGACAATTATGAGCCCCTGCAGTCTTACCTGGAATCCGTTTCACCGCAGGAAGACCCCCACCTCGCACCAGAAGGTAAGTGAATTAACAATAAAAATGCCTTGATGATGAACAGAAACATCCTTTATTCTTCGTGATTATTACTTCATGGACTTTTTTGATAGTCGTGTGCCTTCCGTCTTCTTTTTGAGCTGAGTCCATCCCCTTTTCAACAACCAGGGGGTATAATTGGGGGGTGATGCGACACTGTGGCTGATTTCGCACTAGAGCTGCCTCGATGTTGCGCTGCCGTTTTCCCCGATACTATTGGTCAATTTCACACCCGAAGCTGTGGGGCTGCATTTTTGACTCGCGGCTTCGCCCGATTTCCCCCGCAGTTTCGTGATCCTGTTTTTTTAGGATCACGAAACTGCAGAGGAAATCGGGCGAAGCCGCGGGTCAAATGCAGCCCCGCAGCTTCGGGTGTGAAATTGACCAATAGTATCGGGGCAAACAGCGGCGCAACATCGAGGCAGCAATAGTGCGAAATCAGCCTTTGTGTTTCTCAAATTGCCAAAGTTAGTTCAGGGCTCTTAAATGGGTGGCTCAAACATGACACATCCTCATCCCTACGGGGAGGGCAGGATAAAAATCTAAATAATAAATAAATAAATACAAAAATCCCTCCAAAACCCCCAGACATTCATTAGTTAGCAAGTGCATGCTGGCACACACCTTTAGAAATTGCCAGCTGCCAAAGTGAGCATGTATGCGCTGCTGCTGGTTTAAAGCACTATCAGGCCGTAGCCACATTATGGCAACCCCGTAGGGCTTTCAAGACAGGAGCCATTCCAAGACAAGAGATTATTTTATTCATAAAGAATAGCTGGAATAGATTTTGACCGCTATACAGCTGAGGTACATTGAAGTATCACTTCTCAGAATTTATTATTAGTGAGAATTCATTCTCAAGAAGATAGTATATAATTTAATAAGAGTGTCACCACAGTGTATTAGAATACTGGCTTGTAAAGATACCCCATGTATAAGGTGTTCAATTTATTAGTTTTGAGGATTTCAGTTGGAAAATAAGTTACATAGTTGCAGGATCCTCAAATATATGGTAAAAACCTGAAAAGTAGAATTGTTTAAGTAATGTACGTATTGGATACATACATGTATAACTTTTGGGAAAACACATTAAGGTTTTACTCATCGCAGCGAGTGTTGTTCTTTTGCGGTTTCATGCACCATGAGCCCGGTTTTGTTAATTTAATTTTATTTCCATAACCTGACCAAAAAACAACAACATGAAGTGTGTGTGATAACGAAGTTGGCTGTTTCTTTTTTTTAACCAAAGTTTGTTAACCGCTAAAGACTTGAGCTGCGGTGGCTCAAGTGGTTAAGACGCTGAACTGCAGGCTGTGGAAGGTCAGTAGTTCAGCAGTTCGAGACCCGAGTTGCTGCATGACGGAGTGAGCTCCCGTCTCTAGTTCCAGCTCCTGCCAACCTAACAGTTCGAAAGCAAGAAATTGCAAGTAGATAAATAGGTACCACTTCGGTGGGAAGGTAACAGCGTTCCGTGCGCCTTGGTGTTTAGTCATGCTGGCCACATGACCACGGAAACGTCTTCGGACAGCGCTGGCTCTTCGGCTTTGAAACGGAGATGAGCACCGCAACCCTAGAGTCGGATTCGACTGGCTTTCGAGCAAGGGAAACCTTTACCTGTTTACCTTTAAAGACCTACAAGTTTTCTAAAACAGTTTCATGCTATTGCATTTCTTCAGTGCTCGAAGCTGAAAAAAAGAAGAAGGAGCAGGCGGCGAAGGATCTGAAAAACTTTTGGAAGTACTTGGAACCCATTCTGAACAGTGGGAAGCCAGGATTGAACCTTTTTCAGATTGCGAGACTCCAGCACCTCATCAAGGAGTCGACCTTTCCACCTGATTGGACTAATAATGATATGATGGTTAGTAACTTTCTCTTTTTGGAGTAATAATAATTATTCTATGGCACTGTGTGTAGAATAGCCAGGAGATTCCAGTATTCCCTGGCAGCCAGAAGTTCTAGCTCGTTTAGCGTTATGCACCACTAGGTGGTGAGCTAGACTTTTTTCAAGGCAGGAGACATTTCAGAGGTGGTTTGCTATTGCCTGCCTCTGCGTCACAACCCTGGTATTCCTTGGAGGTCGCCCTTCCAAATACTAGCCAAGGCTGACCCTGCTTAGCTTCTGAGATCTGCCAAGATTGGGCTAGCCAGGTCAGGGATTTTTGGGAGTACTTTTTGGGCTACTCGTAGCAAAATACATTTTTGATCTCTCTCTCTCTACTCCTTCTCACGTCAACAGAACATTTACCGATCATGAACCAGGATACGGTTCTCTTATTTTCAGATTCATGCCGCATTGTACTGTTGCGCTGTGTATTTGCTGATTGAAACCACTCTTAGCTCCAGTTAGACATCACATCTCCTGGCTGCTTAAGGTGCCTCTGTGCCTCCTCCCAAGGCACAGGTGAGGGTTGTCTCTCCTAGATCTTTGCATAGCATCTCTGGCTCTCTCTCACTCCAGTCACGTTTGGCTCTGTGCAGGGCTGAGCCTCAGGCGTAACAGTCTTGGGGGCCAGGTGCATCGACCCTTTGTGAAACAAAAACACTTGTGTCCAGCATTCTCCACAATGAGCCGTGAGAAGGAAAGGGACTGGCTTCAGTTGGGGTTGAACTTGGACTTCTGGTCTCTGGTGACTTTCACATACAACTCAGCATGGGAGTGGCAAACAGAAATCAAAAACAGATATCAAAGTCCAGAAATGTCTTTCTTGCAACTATTGGAGGGGGGGGGAATTTAGTGTGAAGGGCCTTCAGACCAAAGAGGGCAAAGTCATCTACATTGCTCTTAGTGTACTCCTTGTATAGATATAAAACTCGTGGTCAGTGTTCCCTCTAAGCTGTGTTAGGGGGCACTGGCACACAAAATTTTAGCTGGCTACTCCGGCCGCATTGATAATTAATGCAGAAACAACAGAAAATTTTAAAGTACAAAAAGGAACAAGACAAGGGTGCCCTTTTTCTCCGTTACTATTCATATGGATATTGGAAGTATTTTTGAAACAGGTTAAAGAAGACAAAGAAATATCGGGCCTAGAGAATAAAGGTTTTTCATATAAATACAGGGCATTTGCTGACGACGTGATGTTTATGATAGAAGAGCCGATACAAAAGATACCATTGATGGTGAAAAAGTTAATGGTTGATGGTTATATCCTAAATAAAAACTATGATACAAAAAAACAACAACAAAATTTTAGCTGGCTACCCCGAGATTTTAGCTCACAAGCATTTTCCCTCCATTGGAAACAACGGAGGATGGGGGCACATCCTTCTGAGGCACATAAAATTGGACCCCCTGGTCCAACCTTTTTGAAACTTGGGGAAGGTTTTGAGGAGAAGGACCAGCAGCCATGCCACAAATTTGATGCTTTTACCTAAAAAAACCAGCCTCCCCGAGCCCCAGATCAATTCTCCATTATAGCCCATGGGGCCCTTTGACTATAATGGTCCCCATAGACTATAATGGAGCAGGACAAAAATTGATTATTATTTTTTTGCACACCTCTCTTATGCTTTTCTGTATGATTTGTAAGCTGCTTGTGTCACAGTAAAAGTGGGATATAAATATTTGAATAGATAAGTAGTTTAGGCAGGTTGATAACATTTAAGCAACTTCCTGTTTGTTAGATTAGGCAGGGTTCTTTATTTTTTATTTTTATTTATTTATTTATTTTTGTATTTATACCCTGCCCTCCCCGCAAGCGGGCTCTGACAGTCATTTATGTCAGATCCGGCCCTAATGACAAATGAATTCAACACCCCTGCACTAGAAAGTGTTGTGTGGATGCAGTCCAGGTCTGTGCTCTGAATTTAAATCCAGTCTCTTTCTCTTCTCTGTCACACAGCTTGAATTTGGGGCTGAGATCTTTGAAAGCATTGCCTGCTTAATGTACGACTGCCTAGACTGGCGAAGGCAGCATCAGCACTACTTGAAATCTACCAGATTTATTAACGTTCCAGTTGCCGAAAAGAAAAGCAAATCAGCGCTCCTTGAGGTGAGATACTACACTTACGCAAGGTGGCCTGATATATGTTTAAGTGGAACTGTATATGAATGTCACATGGAGGCCTTGACATCTGTGCCCTGTTGTTGCCCCCTAAGGGCAATTGGTTGGCCTCTGTGTTAAGTAGGATGCTAGAACAGATGGACCACTGATCTGATCCAGCAGGATTTTTCTTGTCTTTATTTATCCTCACCAGAAATTGGTCACTGAGATGGATAAAAGTGCATCAGCAGGGCTTTTTTTGTAGAAAAATCCCAGCAGGAACTTAGCCTAATAGGCCCCACCCAACAGCAGAAACTCATTAGCATATTAGGCCACACCCCCATGTTACCAGAAGTGTGCTCATCCAACCACACCCACCTTTTGCTTCTTATTCTGCTTACCTTGTTTGTTGTCAAAACCCAGGGCCTTTTTGTAGCAGGAACTCCTTTGCATGTTAGGCCACACACCCCTAATGTAGCCAGTCCTAATGAGTTTCTGCTGTTGGGTGTGGCCTATTATGCTAATGAGTCCCTGCTGGGCGTGGCCAACTTGGGAGCCAGCCAGAACTCCGTTCCTGTGCGTTCCTGCCCCAAAATAGCCCTGTGCATCAGTAAAACATTCATCAAAACTTTGGGAAGGCCTTTCAGTAGTAAGCGGGCTGAAGATCAGTTGGCTGTCCTGGCATTTTTCTTTTTATCTGTGTCTTTGTTTCGCTAGGGACATCCCGCAGCTCCAACTACACCTTCAAGGAAAAAACAGGCTGCAGATGCTGCGGCACCAGTTTTAACAACAGGTACGGTGTGAATTTTCTTGAGTTCCTTTCTGCAAATTGCCAGCAGAACGAATAAGACTTGTTGGGGGAGGGGATTTGGCAAAGACATTCAAAACTTGCTGCTGATAGTGGTTGGAGGAAGGCATATTTAGCCATTTCGGCTTAGTCCCCAAGCCCTGAACCTTAGCCAATTTTTCTTGATGCTTGAAATCTCCCCATTGGCAGTATACAGAGACTGTAGGCTGTTTGTCAAAGTTTATTGGGGGTAGAGATGTGAAGGCCCGGAAAAAAACCGGAAAAATTCGGGGAAAAACTGTTTTCCAAATCATTTCTATAAGATATGTATGGTATCTGATTGATCTAATTTCTGTGCACTGAGGACAAGCAAGTCCTAGGTTACAAACTGATCTCTCCAACGCAAGAACAAGATGCATTTCTTCCTTTAGGAGGTGCTATTGTCACAAGAAAAGAAAAAGGTTTCAGTTTTGTTTTTGCATGTGGGTGGGTATTCTGTTTGTAATAATTGTTAGGATACACATTTTTAATATGCTAGTTATGATAATTTCATGCTGAGTACAAATGTCCATAGTCATATTTTATGTTCCTAAAGTACCAGAATGACTTTCAATCTGGAAAAGAAAAAAGAAGTGCTAATGTAGCATTTTTTTCAATTTTTCCGAAAATTTCCGTATTTTACCGGGGGAAAATGGGGGGGGGGGGTCCAAACTTCAAAATTTCCGGAAATTTTACATCTCTAATGGGGGGGAGGATTTATGGATGAGAATAAGAGAAACCATTTCATCTTAGGAAGTGTTGGGATTCTTTTTGAGTAAGTCAGCAGAGTTTTAAGAGACTGAGTCCATGGTGTGTATTAAAATAAAGTTTACTATAAACCTAACATGGGGAAAAGGTACACAGGATATAAAATAACAAAGAGCTAATATGCCTACATCCTTGCAGCTAAAAGGTAAAACGGGAAGAGCCGAATGGCGTCTCCTTCTCTGGTCAGAACAAAGAATGGGAGGAGAAGCCAGTATGCTAAATACTTGACACCTTGGTTTCCAATCAGACCAGCAAATTAGCTCCAAAGTTCCAGGGCATTCTGTTGTCTAAACAGATTGGTTACAAACAAACATGTGACTTAACAAACATCATTAACCCTGTAAATACTGAAGTGTTCTGACTTGTAACACCCAACAGGAAGGGGTGACATTTGTGGAGATGAACCAGTGTTGATATATAAAATCAGTCTGGGAAAATCTATATGCTGAGCATCCCATAGGGAAAATAATGAACCCATCTGATGTGAATAGCACCTAACTCTTGGCTACTGTCAGGATTCCAAAACTTAGACTGGAGAGGATCCAGATGGGTAGCCATGTTAGTCGGTCTGTAACAGTAGGAAAGAGCGGGAGTCCAGCAGCACCTGCAGATTCAGATTGGACAGGACCTTCTATGCACAGGGGGGGGTGGGGAATGGGTTTCCGTCCGACAAAACAGGTCCCCCCCCCCCCGGCTTCTGTGCAGGGTTGTGCATGTCTCACCTGCTTGCTGGCTGCTTGCACAAGCTGGGCAACCTGATAGATGCCGGGGTGGGAAATGAGCAGGGCTAAGGGAAACTCAAGAAAGGGATGTGGCTAATCAAATAACTTTTTTTAAAAAAAATGCATTTAAAATAAATTAAGGTACTTTTCAAATAGCAAATAGAAATACTGTATATGCTGCTGGTCCGATGCAGGTTTTATATGCACATCACTTATGCACAAGGTTGCAGTGACACCTGTTCCTGAAAACATGAAATGATCATCACTGTGTCTTGCCAATGATGCAGTAGGATTTTTCAACATCGGAGTATGTTTTGCTGTTTTGAGATAATGGGCTGCTAATCAAGACGTCGTTCTATTCTGAAACAAGGCGTGCTCTTTATGTCGGGTTTACTGTCCAATACTGTGGTTTGTTTATTAACATTAATGTCTTACTGCTTTTTTTTAAAGACCAGATTTACTTTCCCCCCCTCAACCTTTATTTTTGGCTTTTGTCAGTTTTCAAGTGGATTGAGAGTCCATTTCTCCCAATATTTTTCTCAAGGGAATGGGATTGCCATTCTACCCCACATCTGTCAAGGGAAGGTAGTCAGATTACATCCATTATGGGGACACATGAAATCAAAACACTCCCTGTTAAACCTGTCCTCACAGTGTCATGCCGATCTTTGGCCCCGGTCACACAGGCCAGATATCGTGAGGGGGAGGCGTGGCTGTTTGCTCCAGAGTGAATTACCGCGCAGCAGCCGGATCAAATGTCCCGCCCGACGTCCCACCGACATCCCGTGGTTGGGGGGAGATGCCGATCATACCTCACTCCTGCGGCGCGGCAAAGAAGCAGCGCCGCGGGGGTTGTGTTTTTTTTCTTTAATCCAAAGGTTTGCATGCGCCGTTGGGTGCTTGTGCGCACTTGTGGAGACTTGACCAAAAAAAAAACTTTTTTGCGATGGGACATGGGCGGGCGCCGGATGCCATGAGCTAACACTGGAAACGTGATCTGACCCCGGCCCTTGCCCCGCGGTTTCCAGAAACTAGTACCTCGGAGGTACTAGTTTTTTACGGCGCATCTTCGGAGTGAAACCTCGGGTGAGCCACGGGAGCTCTACGTTTCCCAGATGTGGTGGTGAGATCGCGCCCGGAAAATCCACCTATCTTCCGTCTCTCTAGAGTGCCTAATGCTCTGTGTGACCGGGGCCTAAGTTAGCTCATAGCAGTTTTGTTGTAATAAATGTTGATTGTCTTTAAGGTACCACTGGACTTCTGTTTTGAAAGGAAGTACCAGGCTGTGGGATTCTCAGCCCTTTCTGTGCCTCTAGCGTCCTGTGTTTAAACTAGACACGCAAGGACACTCTCCTGCAATTGTTTGATTCTCTTGGACATCAGCCTGATCTGAGACACGTGCCTCTCTCAAACATTATGTGCTTTTTGATGGCTCTGGCAAGGTGTGCTGATTTTTACCTCTGGGACCGAGCACAGTTTTATGTCGAACACCGTCTCTGTCTCCAGCAATGCTCCCGCTAAGCTGTGGAGTCTTGTGAGCAAAAATTCTACTTTGTGAGCTCCTGGTATTAAAGTTGTGAGCGAGCGATTTGGCTACTGCATAAATTAGTTCGCTCTGGAGCCCTCCTTCCTGAGCTAAGACAAAAATGTGTGAGCCAGAGGCTAAAAAACTGTGAGCTAGCTCACACTAAGTCAGCTTAGAGGGAACACTGGTCTCCAGACCACCTTTACAGGAAAAAAGTAACCGCTAAAAGTAAAGTGTTACCCTTAGTTGCTGCAGGAATTCTAATGGGATGTGACAGCTCTGTTTGACTGAGTCATGCCAACATTACAAGATTGTCGGTGCGCTCATTTAATTCAAGGGTAGGAACAGGTTACATTTGCTTTTACTTTTGACACAGCAAAATGATACGTTCTGATTGCAGATGTGGACATGAGGTATTACAATGATTTGCTGAGCCCAGTCCCTGAAGAGCTCGTTTCTGTCCCGTTGATAGTTCACTGCATGGTGGAACAGGTAAGCATATTACCTGAAGTCATTCAGGAAATAATGACAAAAATAATGTTGCCGCTCTGAGCGTTGTGACGAAAGGGCCAGCTGCCATCAGGCGTGATGGGATAGTGGCCTTGGGGGATGAATAACTCTAGAGCACTACAGCCTCTGGGTTCGGCCCATGCAGCGTGGCCTGTAACCAGCCCGAGAAAAACCCTGTTTTCAAAAATAGCCCTACAGCAAATGGAGCGAGGGCAGCTTGGAAGGGGAGAGGAAATGGGGGCTTTGTGTTCCAAAAAAGCAAGATGTCGATTTCTGGCATTCAAATATACACTTCAGGAGTCTTTTTGGCCAGGACAAACCAAACTTCGGCAGATCATGAGAGGGAGGAGCAGGAAGGGTCGCACGAGTGCTTAGTGCTTGTGGCCATTTCTTACACGCCCAGGGAAATGCTAATTGCCTCTTTGGGGTCAGAAAGCAGGGTTTTTTTTCCCTCCAGGCCAGTTTGGCTGGGGATCCTGGAGGTTTTTTTGTCATCTTCTGGGCATGAACAGGGGACATTGGGGGTGTTGGGGGGAAGGTATTGTGAATTTCTTGCATTGTTCAGGGGGTTGGACTAGATGATTCTGGAGGTGCCTTCCAACTCTATGATTCTATGATATCACCTCCAGTCAAAGGCTTTTATTGTCACCTAGGACAACTAGGGATATGAAAGCACTATTGTTGCTTGTGAAAGAATGGAGTCGCAATGCAAGCCCTGTATCCTTCAGGTCCCAGGAGGTTGGGAGAACTCTGCAGCCATCCTAACTCTGCTTCGTGATGCCTTACTTTTCCCTTAGTCCCAGGCAAAGTTCCCTCTAAGCTATGGAGCCCTGTGAGCAAAAATTCTACTTTGTGAGCTATTGGCATTAAAGTTGTGAGCAGGAGATTTGGCTGCTGTATAAATTAGTTTGTTCTGGAGCCATCCTTCCTGAGCTAAGACAAAAATGTGTGAGCCAGAGGCTAAAAAACTGTGAGCTAGCTCACACTAACTCAGCTTAGAGGGAACACTGGTCCCAGGAGGTACTAACAGGGCCGGCCTGTTATTGTTAAATTTTAGACTGTCGCCTAGGGCGACGGCTCAACGAGGGTGCCATTCTGGCCGGCCTCGTCCCCTCCTTGCCCCGCACAGGAAGCCTCCCTTGCTGGCTTCTTGCTCCATCCCCGGCAAGAGACTCCCCTCTTTGCAGCCCCCAAGACAGAAAGAGAAGGAGGCGGGGGGGGGCAGGTGCATGGAACAGCCCAGGACAACAGGAAAGTGCCGCTTGCCCTCTGCTGCCCCCGCGGTCTCTTTGGAGGTCCTTTTGCAGCCTGGCACAGGCCCCCTCCCCTTGAGCGATCCTGCCCCCCCCCCCGGCATGCATTTGCAGCTTGCCCCCTTGGCCCGCCCGCTGCAGCTCCAGCGCCCACCCCCATCCTACCCCACACAGGGAGGGGCGCCAGAATGTATCCTCACCTAGTGGGCGAAAAAAACTGGGGCCATCACTGGGCACTAAACATCTCTCTAGGTAGTAACCACTTTCACCCATAAATCTGAAAGCATATCTCCTGCTAGACGGATTTGTACCTCTAGCACTCTGTATATGCATTACTGTTTAAAGGATCTATCTAGTTGCCGAGTCTCCCACTTCACTCGTAATAGGATGATCTACTTCACTTTCACACTTTCGAACTATTAAGCTCAAGGGATGGTGCACTCCCCCACTGCCCTTTTATTGCTCTCTGGATCAAGAGATCAGACTGTAAGCATTCAAAATATAAGAAAATGTAAGCAAAAACAAAAAGAATACACACGGTTTGTTTAGTCAGGCAGAGCAAGGATGCAAAGAAATGGTGAACACTTGTAATCCTCTACACTCTGTACTTATCTAGTTTGGTGTACTGATTAGAGCCAGTTTGGTGGTTAGGAGTGTGGACTCTAATCTGGGAGAACTGGGTTTGATTCCCCACTCCTCCCACATGCAGCTGCTGGTGTGACCTTGGGTCAGTTACAAGTATTTTAAGAGCTGTTCTCTCATGAGCAGCTCTCAAAAGAGCTCTGTCAGCTCCACCTACCTCACAGGGTGTCTGTTGTGGGGAGGGGAGGGAAAGGAGTTTGTAAGCCACTCTGAGACTCTTTTGGGTAGTGAAGGGCGGGGTGTAAATCCAATCTCATCTTCTCTCTACTCTTCTTCAGCCTAAGCAATGTTTAATTAATTGGGACATCTCCCATTGTCCCTTGACACATGGTCAAGATGGAGTCCCTATGTAAAGACTTAATTCTTCATGGCCTGTGTATAGAAGAGCCCAAGATATAAAACAGTTTCTTTGTTGTGTCCTGAGAATTTATAATCTCCCCTTTAAAAGTCCATCCCCCTCTGGGAACATTCTGGTCTTCCTGCTTCAAGAGAAAGGAATTACTACCTAGACTTTGGGCTGCCCCGGTCTCTGCCCCCTTTTGGTGTGGCATTCCAGGGAGGTGTGAGATGCTGAACCTTCTACTGGACCAGAGCTGTTTGCATAACTAAGAGCTGGGTTGCTCTGTGTTTGGGACAGCGATGACCCATCTCCTGTAGTTTTTTTGCCAGTTTTTACCAGAACGTAAGCTTAAGCAGATAAAATTAAATAAAACTTATCCTTGTACAGTTTTGGGATTTCATGGCTTGTGAGTAGTTCTTCTAAAAATTATCATCATTAAAATTGTAAAATTATTAAATCTGTACTGATTTTCTAAACACATTCAGCAATCATGACAATAAACGAAACATATGGTTAGCATATGTAGAAAAAGAATCTCTACTTTTCCAGAAAGCCATAAATAATTCTCAGTTTTCTCTGAACTGATTACATTGTTGTATATCTCCCATAGGTACTGCATAGTTGGCGGTATCATGCTCATAAATCTTGCTTTCTCATTCTGCAATCAGATAGATGCTTACCAGTTTCAAGTGTGTGGCATAGACGCACGTCCCTGTGATCAGAGAGGCTAATCATTCTCAACTTCTATGTAAAATCTCTGTGTAAGCCAACGAGGCTGTCCGAGGCTCTGCAGTCACATACATTCCTCTAATTCTGCAAATTGCGCTTGTAATTTTAGACCGCCTTGTAATCCTGCAAGTCCACCAGATGGGGTCAGTACATCCTTATTTCATTTTCACATGTCTCGTGCCAGGTTGTTGCATCAGAAGAAAACCTGACTCCACCCAGCTTGGTCGTTCCAGAGCCGCGGGAAGATGGGCTGCATCACTCCGTTGCCAGGCACCTTGTTTCGGTCTTGCCTTCCCTCGCCCTTTCTGAGAGTGAAAAAAGGGTTTGTGTTTTCTAGTCGTCCCATTTTTGTTTTGACAGATAGAGGAGTTCGCGTTGTTGGAGGTGCATAGACATGTGTGTGTGTTTTTTAACAGGATTTGTACAGCTCCTTCTATCCTGAAAGTCAAGAAAAGAGAACGTCTCACAAAGGGCCCATGATCCTGAATTACCACGATGTTCTGTCTCAGAAGCTGCACTTCTTAAAGGTGTGGCATTGCCTGACTTATTTATTTACCTCATTTATTCCCCCCTCGTTTCTCCCTTTCAAAGCCATCACTGTCCCCACTGGCAGTGAAGTCCATACATTTAATTACTTATGGAGTAAAGAAGTCATTCTTTTTGTCCGTCTTGAATCTATTGCCCGTCAGCTTCATTGGATGCAACAGAGATAAGCACCTTGAGCTGCAATTAAAAGGGCATCTGACATCACTCCATTTTCCAATATATAAGACAGATGGACTCACATTCTAGCCGTATCTGGAGAAGTGAGCGGTGACTCACAAAATGTTATACCCTACCACAAATATTGTTAGTCTTTAAAGTGCTACTGGACTCTTACTCTTTTTTTTTTTAAACGGTTTATTTATTGGTTTTTCCAGTGGTCGTTTCGTAGAAAAAGAGCTAGGGGAACTCATTAAGATAACTCATTAGCATATGCCACACACCCTGACATCACCGGAAGTGTGTCATAAGGCCACACACCCCGCCCCCAACGGTCCCGGCTGCCACCGCCGGCCTTGCAGCTCCACTGCCGAGCCCCATGAGGGGCCCGGCGGTGGACCTGCAAGGCCGGCAGGAGTGCAAGGAAGCCCCGCGAAGGCCCTCCCTGGCCCCAGGCAGGCAAGGGTGGGGAGAGGCAGGGAGGAAGCAACTTACCCTCCCTCTTCTCCTGCCTCCTCCTGGCTGAATGAGGGCCGGAAGGGGTGGCTGGAAGCAGGGGGCGGGGCTTCGTCATGTGCCCCGCCCCCGTACCTCACCCGGGGGAACTGCGATCCCCCGCGTTCCCCCCCGAAATGACCTCTGGGTTTTTCTCTTAGTTGTTTACAAACATTTCTCCTTACATCTTTGAGTCTACACATTCCACACTTTATCAATCCAAATATACAATCTTTCCCATCTTCCCAAAAATACTTTTTCATCTTTCCCTTGTAATATCAAGCTTAACTTATCCATTTCTGCCACTTCTAAGAGTTTATAACTGATTTCTTCCATAGTGGGGAATATGTTTTGCTTCCAATATCTGGCCAACATTATCCTTGCAGTTGTCAAAATGTATACTAGCAAAAATTTATCATATTTAGTAATGCTATCTCTGGGGTTAATAATATTTCTACATTCATAATAGGTTGGCAGGAGCTGGAACTAGAGATGGGAGCTCACTCCGTCATGCGGCACACTCGGGTCTCGAAGTGCTGAACTACCGACCTTCCACAGCCTGCAATTCAGCGTCTTAACCACTTGAGCCACCGCAGCTCCGTTGTTATAGTAGTTTAACCCTAACTATTACTTTGGTAGTATCACTGGTGAAAATTTTGATCTGACCTTTCGTTTATGTTTATTTCAGGTCCCGGATGGTTTAGACCCAGCTGAGATTGAACGCGAAATGATGAGCAAGCTGCCTCTGTTCGACCTCCTTAAATTTCCTCTTCCATCCCCTGAGAACAATACCAAGCGCCTAGGCAGGCTTCACGAGCTGATGCACTATTGTACCAATGGTAACATTGTTGTCTTACTGGCATTCACAGAGCACAATTTCCTAGTAGTCCCAAGTTTATTCTGATGAGAGCTTGGCGTTGTAACTCCTACGGGACTGCAGCGGGAAGGACACTTATGGACCATTTTGGTTTATAAGAGCTGGGGTACTCATGTAAGAGAGTAGGGTTGCCAGTCCCCAGTTGGGGGCGGGGGATCCCCTGATCTTGTAGGCACAAAATACTCACCATAAAAAAAAATGACTGCCAAAGACTGTATGAGGGAAATACGCTAAATAATAAGGGCAGTTTTCTCTCTGTGCCCTGATTTCCCCACAGAGCAGCTGAACTGGGCAGAAGTAGAACGAGCTTTTAAAATATTTACTTTCGAAAGTCTGAGGCTGACAGGAGTAGATGACGCTGGACAGCTAGAAGGTTCCGGCAGGATGCTCGGAGGAGATCACGAGGTGCCTTATATCCCGTGGGATAATCCTGCGAGGTTTGCGAAGCAACTGAGACAGCAGGGCGGCAGCAGACGATCGTCCGCGAAAAGTGAGCAGAGCGAATCAGGTGATGTACTTTCAATTGTACTTTTGCAAGCTATTGTAAACGCGTGAAAAAAACTGAGACCGGTTTCACTCAAAAAACAGGATCACGAAACCACGGGGAAAACCGGGCAAAGCCGCGGGTCAAAATGCAGCCGCGCAGCTTCGAGTCGGAAATTGACCAATAGAAGCGGGGCAAAGGGAGGCGCGACCGCGGCACAGCTCTTGTGTGAAATCGGTCTGAGTTGGATCCCAGGAATCTGTTCCGCCAGCACAGGCGTTTCCCTCCAGCACAAGGCGCCCTGAAGCAATAGGTCCTGAGAGGAGATAATTAAGATTCTGTTACTTCCCACAATTATAAAAAACACCTTTAGGCATTTATCTGCTATTCTTTTTTTTTCCTCGTTAACTTTTTTAAAAGACAAAGCATACATATCTGCTATTCTGACATATTTATCGCTTTACAACTGTTGACCTTATAGCCTTCACTTGTTATTCAGTTTTTTACTTTGCATAACTTAAACATCATCAAGTTACGTGTTAATTTGCTGTTCAATCCCTGTTTAGAACCTCATCGGCCATTCCAGTGTATTTGAAAAAGTGTGCCTTGCACACAAAAGCTCACACCTTGAATAGACCTTTGTTGGTCTTAAAGGTGCCATTGGACTCTAAATGTGTTCACAGCACTAGGTGATGCTTTGTATATGTATACTAAAGGCTTGCAATTAACCACTAGCCTGGCTGCCCATGTGAATTAAAATTGCCTGCAGAAGCATCTCTGCTCTCTCTAAGCTTTAAATTGGTATTGGCTTTTTAAGGTTAGAGGGTGTCTGTCTCCTCTCCCCTCTTCCAGAGCTAATAATAGCCCAGGGTGTAGATTCTGATTCACCTAACTGCACTGGGGTAGGAGGTCTTTTTTTTTTTAATACTTTCCATTTATTAATCGCTTTCCCCAGTGGGCTCAAAGCGATTTACAGTTACTCAATATAGACAAGGGACTAACAATGTTTGTAGGGGATAGGGAAGACAACATATATTCATTTAATTGCACGTGCCGTCACTGCCCAGTGTAGACGTCTTCTGGCTGGCTCCGTCATTTTCCCGCACGGCTGCTTGCTGGCCAGGCTTCAGGACCCATATGTCGATCGCCACACTGCCACCGCCTGGCCGGAACATCCATTACAGGAGTTCTTTTCGTAGCCAAGAAGCTGTTTCGCCTTACAAGCCTTGACCAGGACGTCCGACCATCAGCTAACGCCCTCCCACAAGGGAGATTGGCATGCCCACTTTCTCTAAGGAGTGGTTCCCATTTTATCTACTCGCCGAATCTTTCGAATCGCTGGGTGGGCGATGAGCTGGGGACAACAGGCTGGCTGCTCACACCAGCGCGGGGCTTGAACTAACACAGTTCAGATGTTAAGACAGTGGGATATACCCACTGTGCCACCGCTCCCCTTTTGCCACCGCTCTTGAATCCCTTCTCCCCTGTGTAGTGGCTCTTCCCCCCCCCCCATCAAGAATGACAGAAAGAAACATTCATGGATCTTTCAGCGTCACATCTAGTTTGACTGTGATTCTGTTAATCTAATGTCAGGGGGTGCCCGCAGTGCCCAGAGCTGCCTATACAGTTCTGTCTGTTTCGGTGCTGGGGGTTACGGATCTTAGTGAAGCCTGTGCTTCTCCTCTCCTCCATTTTATCCTCACAACAATCCTGTGAGGTAGGTTAGGCTGAGAGTGTGTGATTGTCCCAGGGTCACCCAGCAAGCTTTCACGGCAGAGTGGGGATTCGAACCTGGGTTTCCCAGATCCTAGTCCGACACTGGCTCTCCTTTCTGTATGGAAGCCTCTGAAGGACATTCCATGAGAAGAAGAGCGCTTGGAGAAAGGGGCAGTGCAGTCCTCTTGGGCAGGTGGAGAGGACTCTTGAGGTGGGGCAGGACGGAGACTGCGCTGCCAGCACTTAAAAAGCGGGAACCAGTCAAGTAACAAGGTACAAGGTACAGTAACAAGGTACAAGGTCAAGTAACAAGGTACAAGGTACAGAAACCTCTGAAAGCCCACCATCTATTTTTACGTACCATTTCCAGGTGATGCTGGAAGGATTGTCGATAGCTGTGAAAGTGTTTTGTCCGGCTCACCTGAAAATAAGGTAAGAAACTCTGTGACGAGGGCGGAACGTGCCTTACGTCTGATAGGAAGACGGTGTCAGTAGAACTGTCCGGCGTACAATCGGACAGGTTTTGTGTTTGTTAATGACAGAGCAAGTACCTCAGCATCTGACCTTTTAAGAATCAGGCGGTCCATGCTTGCAAAAGTAGACCGGGATCTTCTCAGTGCCACGTCTGGTCTTCTCTAAAAAAGAACAGGTGCCTATTTTAATGGAAACAATAAAAATAGTTCCGAATTCTTGAGTACACGAAGGGCACATTATACTGAATCAGACCATAGGTCCATCCAGGTCTGTACTGTCTAAGACTGGCAGCAGCTCTCCAAGGATCTCAGGTTGAGGTCTGTCACCTGATCCTTTTTTAAAAAAACTGGCGCTGCTGGGGATTGAACCCTGGACCTTCTGCATGCCAAGCAGATGCTCTGCCTCTGAACCGTGGCCCCTCCCCTTACCCATTATTTTTTCGTGTTGCCTGATAACTTTTTAAGTCCTGCATTATATGCAGCCTAACAGAAATGAAGCCTTGATGATGGAGATTCTAGCCTGTCTCTTACCTCCCTGCTCAGCATATTTGATGCCTTTCTCTACTGGAAGCAGCTCTTCCACCAGGAGAGGAAGGCATCAGTCTTTGCTGAACAGAGCAGTAAGACACAGTCCTCCGTCTCCTGTACTGGCATTTAAGGCCAGTTTTCATGACTGACTATGACAAGGCAGATAACAAGGAGCTTTGGCACAACCATGCACCTGGCTTGGAATGTAAGCTGTGTTTAGTGAAGCATCATAAAACTTGCCATTGTTGGGTAGTAGGGCTGTAGCCCATGTGTATTGAATGCAAAGCTAGGAATAAACTGATCAGGAGACGGTCTCAGTGGATCAGCCAGCAGCAGCTCACAGCCACTCAACGCACATCTGAGCCCATCTGCTTGAACATGTGATTGGTGCTCATAATGACCTATGTTGGAAAGGGAAGCAAAAATTCTTGGGAAGCCAAAAAAAAGACTTCTTTCATCTATGACTGAAAACTGTGGATGTTAAAGAAATTCAGTGTTAGTGGGTACCTCTCCCATCAGGCCAGTACCATGCTTAGGGACGTGGGAGGTACATCATAAGAACATAAGAGATGCCAATGTTGGATCAGGCCAAAGGCCCATCCAGTCCAACACTCTGTATCACACAGTGGCCAGAAATACCAGGTGCCATCAGGAGGTCCACCAGTGCGGCCAGGACATTAGAAGCCCTCCCACTGTTGACCCCCCCAAGCACCAAGATGACAGAGCATCACTTGCCCCAGAGTCCCTATCTATACCTTGTTGCTAATAGCCACTGATGGACCTCTGCTCCATATGCTTATCTAATTCCCTTTTGGAATGCTTATCTAATTCCCTTTTGGAATTCCCTTTTGGGTCAGGCCTTAGCATCTTCTCTGCTAAAATGGATTTGAGAATCCTGGATCTTCTTCTGTCTTACTCCACATGGGAAATGTAAACCTTTGGATCTAACTATGGGAGTTTCCCTTGGCATGGCGTTCTACCTGATGTCACTTGTCAAATTGACTGTAATCCCTTCCTGCCCATCTTAACGGGTACAGAAGGCATTATCTTTGTGGTCAGTGCTAGACATTGCAATTTCTAGCAGAGTCGGGCAGCACATTTCACTCCTTCCTTTCTTTCCTTTCCAGTGACAGTTTTCCTGTAGGAATGGCTCTGCCCAGGTCTCTGCCAAGCCACGGTTGATAAAGGGGTCTGTGTGGGCGGGTGGATATATCAGAGGGCGAAAGAGACGGGTGGATGTGTGAGAGAGCATCTGCATATGGTGGTGGGTATGGGATATCAGTGTGGCGGTATATCTCCACGTGTTTGGGAGGGCATGCCATTATGGAAGCACATGTGCTTGTGCATTCTTCAACTGGCTCATTTAAAATTGGTGTCGTGATTCTCCTGCCCTGATCTGGATGGCCCAGGCTAGCCCAGTCTTGTCAGATCTCGGAAGCATGGGGACAGAGCAGGTCATAAGAACATAAGAGACGCCAATGTTGGATCAGGCAAAAGGCCCATCCAGTCCAACACTCTGTGTCACACAGTGGCCAGAAATACCAGGTGCCATCAGGAGGTCCACCAGTGGGGCCAGAAAGAAGTACTTTTCTCCCTTTCTCACAATACAAAGAACTCCTGGGCACTCAATGAAATTGCTGAGCAGTCGGGTTAGTACGGATAAAAGGAAGTCCTTCTTCACCCAAAGAGTGATTAACACATGGAATTCACTGCCACCGGAGGTGGCGGCGGCTACAAGCACGGACAGCTTCAAGAGAGAATTAGATAAGCATATGGAGCAGAGGTCCATCAGTGGCTATTAGCCACAAGGTATAGATAGGGACTCCTGGGCAAGTGATGCTCTGTCTTCTTGGTGCTTCGGGGGAAGGGCAACAGTGGGGGAGGGCTCCTACTGTCCCGGCCCCACTGCTGGACCTCCTGATGGCACCTGGTATTTTTGTCCACTGTGTGACAGAGTGTTGGACTGAATGGGCCATTGGCCTGATCCAACATTGGCTTCTCTTATGTTCTTAGGTTCTTAAGCTAAGTAGGTTTGGCCAGGGTCAGTACTTGGAATGGAAACCACCATTGAAATCCGGGGCTCATATGCAGAGACAGGCGATGGCAAGCCACCTACGGACGTCCCTCGCCTTGAAAACTTTCCCGGGCCACCATAAGTCAGCCGCAACTCAATGGCGCTCTCCACCCCCACCACCATTGCGATTCTCAGGCCAGAAGAGTTTCGTTGGTTCTGGTCTGTGGCCTCCTTTCTACTGAAAACGTTTGTTAGGCGTGACACTAACGTTGTTTCCCCCCCTTGGTGTCTCATAAGGTAAACCAAGAGATAGAATTAGCAGACATACAGAAGACCCAACAGCGGTGTTTGAACGACTGGAGTTTTGCTGAACATTTTGAACCACATATTCTTTTCCAGGTACTTTTGAGCTGTTTCTTTCTCGGACTGTGGGCGGCACCTCAAGACAAAGACTGAAGAGAATGTTAAGCATAGCATCTGTGTTGCTGGTTCAGATCTGCCCTTACCAGATCTGCCTCCAAACAATGTTCCCTCTAAATTGTGGAGTCTTGTGAGCAAAAATTCTACTTTGTGAGCCACTGGCATTAAAGTTGTGAGCGAACGATTTGGCTACTGCATAAATTAGTTTGTTCTGGAGCCATCCTGCCTGAGCGAAGACAAAAATGTGTGAGCCGGAGGCTAAAACACTGTGAACTAGCTCACACTAACTCAGGTTAGAGGGAACACTGCGCCCCAAACCATTCGCAGAATTAATGTAGAGTACTGAATCTGAATTGTCTCCTTGTCACCAAAACAGGTGAGGGGGCTCCCTCTTCTGTCCATCTTGGACAGAGACGTAGCTGTTCTTCATTGGAAGGGATGTAGGCAACCACTTGTCTCTCCCAACTTTGCTTTTCTTTCTCTCCCTATTTTACGCATAGAAAGCAAGGCACACGTGGCATAGTAGAAGTTGTTCTTGTTTTACACAAGTGAGCAAGCTGGTCACCTCTAGGATCCAAAATCTGAGGACAAATTCATCAGAGACAAGATTTCATACTTACAGCATAGACAAGAACAAATGGAACAGTCAAGGGGCGATTTCGCACTAGAGCTGCCTCGCCCCGACAGTATTTGTCAATTTCACACCCGAGGCTGCGGGGCTGCATTTGACCTGCGGCTTCACCCGATTTCCTCCACAGTTTTGTGATCCTCAAAAACCAGGATCACGAAACTGCGGGGGAAATCGGGCGAAGCCGTGTGTCAAAATGCAGCCCCGCAGCTTCGGGTGTAAAATTGAGATATTTGTGTCAGGGCAAACGGCGGCGCAACCGCGAGGCAGCTCTAGTGCGAAATCGCCCCTTGACTGTTCCATTTGTTCTTGTCTAGTTTACAGTCTTTCCTGAGCCCTTGCAAAATATCCTTCCCCGTGAATTCTAAAAAGAGAAAAAGGCTAAATTCTAAGCAGAACTATGAGGCAAAAATCACTTCCTTTTCTGTTGGCATGTCTCTGTTGACAAAAGAGGCTGGAAGAGCAATTTCACTCCCTTTCTCTTCCTCACTATAGCCCATTAGTCCACATGGGTATTACTCTAAGTGTATCCTGCAACCCTGGGAATGAACTTTCCCAAGATCAAAAGGGATTGCTGAAGGGGAGGGAGAAATAGGGAAGATCCGTGGTTGTCAACGTATTCCACTGAAAGATCACTGGATCCAACTGTTGGATCCCCAAGCATCGAGAATAAATCCACGTTTTCAAGAAAAGCAAAATTTATTTCAAAGCGTTGGAAAGACACTCAAACACGTTCTTTGTTAGAACTGGGGATACACAGGTAGGGCAAGCATAATAAAGGAAATTCAAACAGACACAGATCCAATGAATAACATTCCCGCTGGCGGGCTAAAGAAACGGTTGCGCGCCCAGTCCATGAGAACCAGGCAGAACATCAGACAAAACACAGGTGCAGTTCCCAAGCGATAATCAGTGGCAAGCATTACAGCATCCTCTCCTCCACAAACCCTCCAGTAGATTATCTTAGGCATTCCAGCATAGAAGCAGAATAACAAGCCGGGTGCAACAGGGGAAGGATATGTACACAGAGGTCATAGAAACATAATGGCAGCTTGCTGACATACTGCCCCCCCAAAAATACATCTTAAAACATACCTCCCGGGTCAGGCGGGAGATCTCCCGGGCTGGGCGGGAGACCTCCCGGTTTGTCCGGGAACTTCCTGTGGAACCTACGAATCAAGTAAGGGGCCCGAATATCCCCTTCTTCCACCCATTCACGGTGCTGGGGACCGAAATCCACCCATTCAATAAGGTACCAGAGTTTACCACGTTTCAATTTACAATCAAGGATGTCAGCGATTTCAAAATGTTCACCACCTTCCAGAATAACAGGTGGAGGAGGAGTAATCGATGGTCTCCAGGGAGACGGACCAGGATCTTTCTTCAATAAACTCATGTGAAATACAGAATGCAGAGCACGTAAATTTTTTGGCAAAACCACATCAACCGCAACATCATTTATGACTTTACGCACTTTGAAAGGCCCAATGAACTTCCACCCCAATTTCCTGCTAGGCCTCAACATCTTAATGTTCTTGGTTGAAACATAAACAAGGTCCCCAGGTTTCAGATCAAATCCCACCACCCTACCCTTGTCTGCCTGGGCCTTGTAAGCAGCTTTAGCTGCATTAAGTGTCTGGCATAGCAGAGGCCATGCGTCCTGTAAGGAAGTACACCAAGAATTAGCATCCCCAATGGGACGTTGGCCCATCCCCTCCAGAAAAGGAAGGGGGGGGCTGTCGTAACCAGAGACAGCTTTGTAAGGAGACATGCCCGTGGAGCTATGTACAGTGTTGTTATAACAATATTCAGCAAGAGGCAACAATTCACACCAATCATTTTGTTGATAATTAGTAAAACAACGAAGATATTGTTCCAGGGTCTGATTCACTCTCTCCATTTGGCCGACAGTCTCAGGATGATAAGCACTGCTGAGCCCTTGTTCCACCCCTAAAATGGAAAGAAGTTCCCGCCAAAATTTAGAAACAAATTGGGTCCCCCTGTCGGAAATTAACTTAGCAGGCAATTGATGAATTTTCACCACGTGAGACAGAAACGACTTTGCCAACTTCCGTGCCGTAGGCAAGGAAGGAAAAGGCACAAAATGAGCCTGCTTAGAAAACAAATCAACCACCACCCAAATAACAGTGTTCCCTTTGCTCACAGGGAGGTCAGTTATAAAGTCCATGGAAACCACTTCCCAAGGTCTGGAAGGGGTAGGGAGTGGTTGCAAAAGACCGGGAGGCTTGCCCCCCCTGGGTTTAGTCAAAGCGCAGGTCTGACAGGACTGAACAAATGTCAACAGGTCTTTGCGCATGTGCGGCCACCAAAATTGTCTGCGGAGGAGTTGCAGTGACTTAACAAAACTCCAATGTCCTGCAAGCTTGGAACCATGAGCAGAGTCCATTACTTCCCTTCTCAGCGAAACAGGCACATACAGTTTGTCACCAGAATAAATCAAACCTTCCGGGCTACGAACATAATCCGGCAAAGAAAGTAGGAAGGCATCATCTCCTGTAGTAAAAGCGGCAACATACTTCTGGACCCAGGCCCCCCCCCCATAGGGAAAAGAGAAGGCGAGGCTTCATTAGAGCGAGGGATCGAGCGCGCTTGCGCGCGGGTGACAACAGCCCC